AGATACAGTGATTCTGAGTTTAAAGTAATTGGAAGCAGAGGAGGGGAAATATTGGATTATGGAATTTGGCTTTATCGTAGACGTCTTTCAGTAGGGGCTGGAAGTGAAGGAGTTGTCCTACATGTAGCAGGTTAGTCCTTGTATTCCAGTGAGAGACCTGATTTTACTTTTGGGGGAGAAATCATTACCTTCTCTTATTGCAAAGCTGAGACCAAAGAGATTGCTTTGCTTTTAAATATGTTTAGATCTCAAGATCAAATTGCTTAATAGAACAAATATAGCCAAGTATCCATTTCCCATTCTTTCCATATTCACTGTACTGTAGTTGCTATCTGTGTTTCTGCAGAACTCAGAACCTGCAATATGCTTTGATCACTGTGCCCTCTGAGCAAGGATATCAAATAATGAACAGTCAGGTTGCATCTCAAGCAATCAGTTTGATGTTGGATGCAGGTTGGTCTGTGCCTCATTATCCAGTCTCCGTGGTAGGTGTAAGCTTCATCCTGACTTGGAAATACTCCCAGGAGTGACCTCATGGTTTGGAGCAAACTCTCTAGTAGAAATCCAGATTTTTAATCTAGAAAAATGTACAGGTGCTCCATTTCATGATCTCTGAGGGGACCTTCCATGTACAGCTTCTGCACTGACACAGCTCCTGGATGTGGGGATCTGCCTGACGGGTGGTGGCAGCAGCAGGCAGCTGAGGGGAGAGGCAGCTGTTGCTCTTGCCCCTTGGCTGAAAGTGTTCTGCAGAGCCTCACCAATACAATGCTGCAGGTTTTGTATTGCCCACTTCGGGTGTTTGACTTAGGCACATGGCCTAAGACAGCACAAAATGTTGGACTGTGGAGCTGAGGTGGTTCTGCATGCCCCTCAGGTGGTGGCATTTCAGCTTTTATTTTAGTGATGTGTACTTGACAAGCTCCCTTTTGTTTGTCTCATCTGTGTCTGGGTGGGTTTGCCAGCCTTCTGGTTAGCTGCTCCATGGCACAGGGATTTTCAGCAGGTAACTAAGACCCTTTTGCTAGTGGTCCTTTTATGTTAATATTGCTGGTTTATATTGCAGTAAGATGATGCAATATAATTATGCAGAGGAAACAATGTGAATGACAGGTATTTTATAAATACTGTTAAAGTTAGTGTGTTTCTTTTATCATCTTTAAGAGACCCTGCACAGCATGAGGGCTCTCCCTACAAAGGCACTCAGTTTGATATGTTCTCCTATGTTATTTAATATTTTAGGATGCAATGATTTTTAAAGCCCTTATAATCAGCCAAAAGTAATCTTTGATAAACACACACGTCCCAACAAAGCAGTTACACAGTTTTAGTCTAAACAAGGGTGTCCCTTTCCCTGTAGTTATTTGCATTATCCAGTTTTATGTCTGTGGATTGTTTCCAAATAAATCTGTTTATGCTTCTGTTTGTAGTGTTTTACAGTTTAGTGCTGAATTAGTGGCAGTTTTTAAATCATCTGTTTATCTTTCTACTCTACAATATGGTGAAAACAATCTATACTATTCCATGAGTAGTAAACACTAAAGCTGATGAATTTTCTACCTCTCTCAGACAGGACACCAGAGATGAAGAACACTAGTAGCTGCTTTGTATGGCAACTCTGATGGTGGACTCCTGTGATAAGTGCCAGAGCAAAAAGAGCAGGGATAGGCACTGCAGCTTGCTGTCATTTAATTTATTTATAGTTGCAAACCAGACCCTTAAGTTCCACAGTGTTGGAAGTATAAAAATGTATACTTCAGCCTCAAGCTTCTAGAATTGAAAATATTTTCATGTAAAATTAATTCATAGATGTGTTTAAATAAGGCATGAACTTTACTGTTTCAGTGAGAAGAAATTAAATATAGATATTCTGTTACTTTTCTGAGTCAAACCTCTAACTTGCAAGTGTACTCCTTGAGTACTGCTGTTTAGACTTTAAAATAACAGGTATTTTCCATTTGCTAATTATGGGCATTTCAAAAAGCTTGTATGCTAAATTGTGCAGACTTGTATTATCTATACTAAAAAATCACAGACTGGTCTGTAGTCTGCAAGTACTCTGCTTCCCACTGCCAGTAATTCCTATTACTGCTCACACAGACCTCCTTTGGAGAAACTGGAGAGAGCTGGTTTCTTTTCTTCAAGAACACCCTAGAAAAAAATGTCTTTAATAAAGTTACAGTCTATCTGAGTTACTGATGATGGAACAGCTTTTTTAAAGGACTTCTTTCAGTTATAAAATATGGGTTTTTCCCTTTTAGAAAGTATGCTTTGGTATAGGTACTTGAGACAGGGAATTTTAGCCTCTGTGGGAAGTGACTGAGGGTAATTGTAGTGACTGTATGAGACATGGGGTAAATTATCTTGTATGAAATTGCTTATCAGTTCTTCTAGAGCTTGTGCTCATCCTGATGGTAGGAACATTGATTAAACCTGTCTGACTGTGAATATATAGACATATCTGAATTGAGCATAGATTTGTAAATCGAATTAATTTCCATCATGAAACTGCTTTTTTAGGGATGACCTGCCAATTTGGCACTTGCCTTGGTTCAAGGTTAAGACTAAAAGCTGAACCCACAAAGGTTCTCCTTAGCAGTGGTCAGCCTTATGCATCCCTTTCTTTCAGCTCTGCCTTGGAATGTGTGAATACTGGATTCTGTGCTGCAGCTGGTTTTACTTCAGAGCTCGGTGTTTACAAATGCAGTGTTTAGTAGCAGTACATCCATCTTTTTTCTTTTTTTTTTTTTTTCCCCTTTCCAGATAGAGGAATTGAGGTCTCGTTTTCAGTTTCACACTGCGCCAAACAGTAATTGCAGAGCTGAGAGAGGGAAGCTGAGAGAAAGGAGTTGAATACCTTTTGATTCCCACTCAGGGTCTTGTTATAGACCATGCTACATCCTTAGAAGACCAAAATGCAATAATGCAATGCATGTATCAGGAAGGCAGCAGGGTCACAAAACTTCAGGGGTTGGAAGGGACATCGAAAGATCATCTAGTCCAACCCATGGCATGTGTTAGGTTATTGAGTCTTGCTGGAACCAGTGTTGTCAATATTTAGGTTTGGATGTTAGATGTTTAATTGTCTGATTAATCTGCTTGTATCTGAGAGCAAGAGCATTTCCTGTGGGAGGACACCTACACTAGTTACTAAATACTTGTGCCAATGCTTTTGTGATGTTCAGTTTAATTAAAATTCATGGCTGTGCCATCTGTTCTGTTCTTTATCACTTGTCATATGAGTGGTCATATGAGTATGTATTCAAACTGTCAAAAATATCCCAAAGAAATGTCAGAGAAGAGGAAATATGGGGAAAAAAATTGCTCTGTGCATCTGGGCTATGTTGCAGGTGTGTTACTGCATGGCATCTAAACCCTTGCTTTGAAGTCAGTGGAGTATTGTGGAATCTCGTGGGGCAGTGCTTGAACAAACAGGGCACCTGCACTGTATGAGAGAGGCAAAGGAACTTGTGCTGGAGCTGTGAGAACATCAGTGCTCTCACTAGAGCTCAGAAATGAGATTTTTACTGTTTTATCAGCAGTTTCCTCTTCTGTGTGGTGCCCTAGGCCAGGCTGATGGGAATCATGGTGTAGGCTCCTCATGCATCACAGCAGGATGACTTCTGAGAACATTTTGAATGACTGATTCAGGCAGGAGGAGACTCTGTTTTAACCCCTGCTCCCCCCAAGTTAAGGTAGTAGTAAGATTTAAAGAATTTGTAAGAGACAAAGTGTTTAAATGCACTTACTCTGGTGAATAGAACACTTTTTTCCAGGCTTAGTACAACCCATTTGGAACACTGAGGAAAAAGTATAGGGTTTGATCCCACAAAGGCTAGAGGTGCAAGTGTTCAATGTTTCTCAGATTATCTTGCCAAAATCTACCTCTAGGCCAACCTAATCCTTTGTATGAGGCCTTTAAAAAGGCAAAAGACTAAACTCATTTGCTGGGCTTCCTTCAAGCTGTGACAATTTTTAACGTGATTAGGAATCAATATTTGGTTTGTTTGGCAGTAGCTATTTCTGTCAGGGAGGGGAGTGTCTTTTTTTTGCAATTATTCAAGATTTCATACATTCTTTTGATGGGATGTGGTTTTTGCATGCTGGTCTCAGAAGCCTTTGCTGATGAGCACTAGACATTTGGTCACAACGCTATTGTTCTGTTTCCCTCACCTGCCTCCTGCCTGCAGAAAGGAACACTGAGTGTCCCATGGGCTCCTCCTGCTGCCTTTTATCCTATATCTTCATTCTGAAAGGCCTGAGGAAGGGGTTAAAGGGGAAACAAAGACTTTTGTCAAGCCAGGTAGGGGATTAACTCGCTGGGGCACTAAAGCCTGAGTGTATATTTTAAATCTGACAAGTGCAGGAAATAGCTCAGAGCCTCCTGAAGAAAGCTTTTGAAATCACGTTTTCTAAGGTGGATCTAATACAGTAATGCCTGGTTAGCTGTTAATTAAAGCTGGAGTTACCAGTTTTTTCCAAATTTCATTTCTGACAACATTTGAATTTAAATAAATGGTTTGATTTTTTTATTGTTTTTCCTCCCCCAAGCTTTATTGATATATATATATAATATATATATCTACCTATATATATAATATATATATATATAACTGCCTCTTTATCCTTGATTGCAAAGAGTGTCAAGCTGTTTGGGGAAAGGTTCTTGGAATTCTGCAGTCTGTCTTCAGACTCTTCCCAGATTACTGTGCTCTGGTCTCAAACGCTGCTGTAGTTGAACTTCTGGACATGAAGATGAGTAGTAAGCTGAGAAAATCATGTCATCTAATTTCCTTGCTTGTTTTTTGGTTATAAATAGATGCTGAGTCAACGACATGGTTGTGATTTGAAGGATAGTAATGAATCTTCAGGGTTTTCTTTATAAAGGGTTGTTGAAAGTGCATTCAGAGCCCCAGAATTATCTCTTTCTAAGGGATCATCAAAAGTCTATTGAAAATACAAGGGGTATCTCCTGTGTTAGGTTTCATTCAGGTCATAAATCGCCCTCTCTTCAGTTCTGCATAATGACTGTGTTAGCAATTTGTAAAGAATCTGTGAAGTTTTTCCCAGGGTCTGGTGCCAGGCCTGTAGAAGTCCAGGATCTGCAGGTCACCTTTAGCAAGTTTCCTCACTGAATCCAAGCATTGCAACATGTTTGAATGTTTGCTGCTTCAAAGTCTCTCTGCAGTTTCATTCTATTACTTGCACTGACTTGTTTTATAATTGTGATTAATCTAGCTTCCTCCAAGAGAAATTAAAGAATTAAAGAAATTAAAGACTACTGTTCTTTGGAAGTAAAGGTTTCCACAGAATTGCTGAGAAGGAAAAAGTAAATCAGCTGCATGTGTAGCATTAATATAGCATGAAAAAAAAATCAGTATATACCTCATTAAAAGTAACATCGTTAAAATGGAGTCTTCTTGTGGCTCTTTCCACACTTGATGGGGAACTTGTATTGTGGCTTCAAGGTTATCTGTGTAACCTTCAGAGTTTTTTCTATGCAAAATGGGGTAGAATGGTATTAAAGTAGTATTCCATAACAGTCTCCGTGATGTTTAAGTTGCATTATAATAGAGTGGTTGAACTGTTGTTTAATAATATGGTTAATTAATCTCTTTCCTTTTTCTTCCTTGTTTTAGGAGCTGAAGGTTCTAAAATACAAGACAAGAAAGTCAGTTCAGGACAAAGCAGCACTGGCACTAAACCAGGTACACAGTTTCACAGCCTTCATGTTAAAAGGCTCTTTACCTCAGTGGTGTGTGAAAAAAAGAGCTGTTTACTTAGGAACTTGTAAAATGCTGATGCCCTTACACCTCTTTCATTGTTTCAGTCAGAACGGGTATCGGTGACTTCATGTGTAGATGGACTGGAATCTTTTTTCAAAGAGGCAAAACTGAAAAAAAAAATCTACTTTTATTTTAATACAGTTTAGGAATGAGGGTTGGGAAGTGAGATAATGCAATAGAAGCCACTTGACCTGCATCTGTGAATGTATAAGAATTTCCTGCTTTAGGCAAGGATTTACAGCTTTGTATAAATGTGCTCCTGTTCAGACATTTCTTCACTTGTCACAAAGCATTCCACCTTCTGTAACACACTCTGCAGCAGGCAGGTGTTTGTAGTTCACCGTCCCTGCCTGGTACCGTGTGTGGATTTAATTCTCTGTTCACTTACACAGCTGGAAGTCCATGTACTGGAGTGCTTATTGTAGTCCTTGATGCCACAAGTCTGTTCCATTTGCATGCTTAGACCAAGATCCAGAAGAGCACTTAAATATCTAAATTTTGTCTGTGTTGCAATTCAGGTACCCAAGCTTAAAATGTGGGATTGATGATGATCTTGGACAGATGCCTGAGAAAGCAGAGGGACTGGGGTTGCTGAGGACTAGGCACACTGTGAGCACTCTGTTCCAGCTCCCTGGCAGCCTGACAACTCAGTGGCTGTTCTGCACTGCCAGACTGTCTCCAAACTGGGTACCCTGGGCTTGTGTCCCAGAGGGAAGCAATCCCAGAGCTGTCTGTGCAGAACAGATCACACCTGGGGCTGGTACCAGGCACAGCATTCCCAGCTGCTCCCCAGTAGATGCAGGGGGAAAAAGGCGAGAATGGAGGTAACATTGGCCACTCCCAGGGAAAAACAGAACATCAGACAGTGTTCAGCATCACTTTTATCCTGCAGTGCTTTAATCCCAGTTTCCATTTCTCAGTCCCAGCAGCTCCTGCTTCCCTTCATTGGTGCTGGTCTGTAGAAAGGAACAGGGGGTTCCTGGGGCTGGAGAGAGGGAAGGACACAGGCAGGTGTGCAGGGTCCTGCTCTGCACCCAGCTGGTGAAAGCCCTGCGGAAGAGAGAGCTCCTGACAGCTGGTGGTTTCTTGGTTGGTTGTTTGCAGCTTGATGGTGCTTTCCTTTAGACTGTATATGGATTTCATCATATGCACGTTGTCAAGGCAAAGTGCTTGCAGCAGGGGTGACAGCTGTCACTATAAACAGTGTTGTTACTGTCTGGAAGGTGTCCACAGGCTGAGCAAGTCTGAGGAGCCCGAGGCAACTCTGAGTGTGTGCATGGGAGTGCAAAGGGAGCTGGACAAGGAGAAGAGTTTGAGATCCAAGCAAGGCATTGGCTTACATTTGTTTGCCCTCACAGCACCCCTGGGAACTAACATACGAACTGGCTGTTGTTTTCAACTTTATATCCTTTTTAGTTTCTTTAATACAAGAAATTAGCCCCCTTGGAGTCAAGGGCAGAATTGAGGCAGACATTTGTGAGAAGAGATTGAGGATTATAGATGGAAATTGAGAACAATAGTAGTCTGACTTGAAGTCATACTGAGTGCAGCTGATAGTTCATGAGCTACAGCACCTGGCCTGATGTAGTAAGTATATATGACAATTACTGACTTAGCAAAATCACAACCTCATGTCTACAAATGTCAACTGTGCTTAGGAATTCAGTGAGTATTATATAGAAGACTTGAAAAGCTTATGTTTTCCTTTTGTTCATATTATTAGGGACCAAAAATGAGTGCCATTTCAGTGCTGAATTTTTGCAAAATACTTTTAAGTGACTTCTGAGCTCTTTTAAATGAACTGCTACTTTCTTAAAAATAATCTTGAAGTAACAATAAGCGATTTAAAACTACTGTTTTAAGTATTAACTGTAGTTGGGAGGCATAATTTCCAGCAATAGGTACAACATTAGTTTCTCCTTTATAAAATTATGGTTTATTTAATCTTCAGACATCCCTCTCAGGCACAATGTTAAGCATTTGTGTTGTGCATGTGTAGTGAAATAGGCTGCTGAGTGTGAATCCACACACCTGGCATCAGAACCAGACTGCAATGTCTCTGGCAGCATGTGGGTCTCCCTGCAGTGCCCTCTGTGAGGCTTTGCATGTGCCCAGTTATCTGGTATTTCTCTTAAGGACTGAGGGATTCTTGCAGGATTTGTTGCCATGATGTTTCCCTTCTCTTTGTGCAGAAACTTAAAACTATTGCTTGATGTTGAATATGAGCAAGGGAGTGTATGTAGTACCATGTGTGTTTCTCCTGGAATTCCTGCT